AGGGAAGAGGACAATAGACTAACTTCTACTTGAGGGGGGGTTGTAACCAGTACTCAAACATACTAGAGTAACCACATCATCTCACCTTTCTGCTTCCTGGTATTGTTAACGTTCTAGGCACTATTATTACTTGGCCGGCTAGTAGTGAGGCAAGGTAAAAGGTTAAATAATGATAAAAGATACAGGCAAAAATGAGAAGACAGATGGAGAACCAGGAAAAAGAAGTTGGGGAAAGAAGAGTCAGGATATAATGGATTGGAAATGAACATGAAGAAAAGTGGTAACCGTTTAAAAAAAGAAGAAAAAGTGTGGAAAGTCAAACAGGTCTGAGGAAATGAAGAAAGACTGCAGAAGAAAGTCCTGAAAACCTCTAATTCAGGTTATGTGATTAATTCCACAGTGGCTTGTCACCCTTTTCACATTTCATCTATTAATAGGATATCTACAGAGGAGCTGTGCTTTATAAACACACTAAAATGTAGCCTTTGCTTTTGGGGAGCACTTAGATATATGCTCATTTTTGTCAAAGATGAAAGCATATAGTAGAATTTGGGTGGGAATTTTAAATCATTAGGTAGTCCCAGGTAATAAAAGAACAAACCTATGTAACTTTTGGGCTGTTTCTATGACAAGAGAGGGAGTGGGGGAGCCAGTGTTAGAAGTATTTTGACTCATAAAAGATACAATGAAATATATTTTAAGAATTTGGGGTTTTTTTCTTAATGCTTCCTGATAAAAACACAGCAGGTTATTAAACTGACCAGGAAAAGTGAGGGAGAAGTGGAGGAGAGACTCCAGATAGCCCACACCAAATTCTATTACATCAAGTGTTCATCATTTTTCTCCAGGTTTTACACTGCTCAAGATGGAGGAGAATCTTTGATTTAACCACCGTACACTGTATGACTGTGCCTGTCATTCAAGATATACTTGACTACTTTTGGGGAAGCATCAGGGGTAGTGTTTCCTAACTGAGAGGTGGATACAGAACCCAGCTAAGGCCCTCGCAGACTGAGGAGAATGCCGTATTAAAATACGTAAATTGCAATGACCAATACAAATATATAGGCATTCACTGTAGTTTTTCCACACTTCCGGTCTGTTTGTGAGGTGTTTTTTTTTTTTTT